GGTGCTCCATGCATCCGAACATTTGTCATTTGTCTGTTTTGACCCCATGTCAAATGTCATTCCTACCCTCCACCACTTAGAAAAATATTCCTTTCACTACTGAATATCAAAAAAGAAAAAAAATTAGAGTTTGGATCTATTCTCTCTCTTCTTTTCCCTTTTCTCTCCCTTCTCTCTTGCTTTTGCCTCCCTTCTCCAGCGTTGCGGTTTGTTTTGATCGGAAGCCTTTGTGCTTCCGAGGTTTTGATTCTTGAGCCGTTGGGCTCCCCGGCCGCTCAAGCATGCTGGAGCCGGATTGTGCTCCCCTCTCCGATGACCCGTCGGGGTCTGTCGGTTTATGGGTCCCTTTCCGGTGACCTCTTTTGGTTTTTTTGTTTTCTGTTTGCTTTGTATAGTTTTGGTTTCTTGTACAGTTTGTTTTTTCAGATCTGGCGACCCTCTGCTCTTTCCTGTTGATCTTGGTAGGGGTTCGTTGGGTTTTTCTTTTTTTGTTCTGTTTAGTGTAGATCTGGCGGCTTTCTTTCTCCTCCGGCGAATCTGAGGCGGCGCGCACGAGGGCTACCAGATCTGACACCCACCGCGGCTCTCCTGCTGGTTCCGAGGGTCTTCCGCCGCCAGATCGGGTGACCGCACGGCATCCTGGAGCCTGGTGCTATTTCTTCAAGGGTAGATAAAAAGGTATCCCATATGGATCGGTCGACCGAAAGCCGTGGTATTTCCGGGGCGTTCGTGATTGTTCGAGTGCTGAGTGCACCCCCTTCAGCTTCAGCCTCTGGATATGGGTCTACTCTGTTCTTTTGTTCCAGTTGTTTTTACTATTTGTTATTTTTGTAGATGCCGTATGGCGGTCTTTGTAATGAATTCATTCCATTATCCTAAAAAAAAAAAAAAATAAAATAAAATCTCATCACAATTGTCTGTCATTTTTCATTGACAAACATGCCCCCTGCTTTTTAACTATTACTACGGTTCTGCCCACTCCGTAGCAGTATTCATTACTTCATGCTCTGTACATCCTATCCTTAATGTCTTCAACTAATGATGACTTTTATCCTACCACTAAAAAAATGATTGGTGATTTTTTGAAGGCAAAACTATCTTGAAGTAATGATCTCTAACTTTAATATTAAATTAACAATTTCTAGTTTGATATTAACTTAACTATATTCTTATTGGTTGGTATAGTAAATTCTGTATGAATAATTAGTTGTATTTGAATTTTAAGTATTTACTTTATCTATTTAATGAAAGTAGACAACTCATGACATTTATATATATATAGTTAAAAAATAAATATATTTAGAAAAAAAATGAAGTGATTATGTAATATGCGGTGTACCAACATGTGTTTGGTAGATGAAAAGAAAACTATATTGTACTACTCTAAAAAAAAAAATGAGAGAGAGGAAAGGAAGAAGTTTAGTAGTAAACTTGTGAATAACTTAAATAATTTAGTAATTATTTATTTTTATTGAAAATAAGAAATTTTGAGTTTGAGTCAAATGATGTAGAGGTAGGGTGAGATGGGGTGGGATAAGAAATAAGAAATTATTGTCTCCAATTATGTAATTAAGATTAAAAAAAAAAAAAAGAAGCTTAGTAACAAATTTTCTAGTTGGTTTAACCACTACCAACTCTTTGGTAGGTCACGTATTAGGAGACTCATAAAGGACTTGTAACGTAGTATTTACCTTGCTTTGATTTAATTGTCTTACTATAATTTTTATATAAAATTTAACGATTAAATCTTTATTTTATTTTAAATATTATTGTTTTTTCGTTAACACTCTTTAAATTTTAAAATCTATAAAAAAAAAACTCAAATGTTGATTCCTAAATTTTTTATTTACACTCTAACAAACACATGAACTAATTATTAATTTTGAGTGTTTTACAAGTTTCAAATTATAGAAATTATTGATTGAAAGTTTAAATTTTATAAGGTGT